TGCCACATGGCAGAGATTTACAGAAGCTTCCAAGTAAAAGAGATGCATAACTGGGCAAAGTAATTGTTAAGCACTTTCAGAAAGTTATATGTGCTTGTAATTGAGTATACAAAAATTAAATTCACTATTGACTGTAGAACACACCTCTTTAGAACTGACAGTTGGTGGTCAAACATCTATAACCCCTACGTGCTCTGGATATATGGCTCAACATTTTACACTATACGTGTATCATGCAATGCAGTACTTTTATCTGTATGTCAGATGAGCTGCAAAACGGAATATATTTGTTTGAAAAATTGCAAAATTAATCCCTTGACAGAAAAGACAAAAGTGACCTAAAATTAATCCATTGATAGAAAAGACAAAAGTGATTGATCTTACAGTATGTGTGAGTAAAACTATGTTGCTATCTATATGTAGTTTTTTCTTCTTCCTGTGTGTTGAAAACTGTACATGATACTGTATCACTGAAAATCTCTCAAAATTTATTAATCATGAGTTATGATTAGTAGTTAGCATAGCCGCCTTGCAGCACTGGGGCCCTGGGTTCAATTCTGGACCTGGGGTACTATCTGTGTGGAGTTTGTATGTTCTCCTTGGATTCATGTGGATTTTCTCCAGGTGCTCCCGCAACCCAGAGAAATTTAATTGGCTTCTGGAAAAACCGGCCCTGACATGGTTGTGTGCAGTGTTTTGCTTGCATGATCCCCGTGGTGGACCGGTGCCCCATCCAGGGTGTACTCCACCTTGCACCCATTGCTGGCTGGGACCAGATAGGATTTCTTTCTATGCATAATGAGAAGGCAGTGTGGCAACAGTTGATGCTGCTTCACAGTTCTTGGGTTCATGTTTTGATTTTGGGGGGGTAGCTGTTTTCAAAGACGTGTCGGTCTAAAAGGTGTCGCTAAATTGTCTTGATGTTTGCATGCCTTGCAATGGATTGCTGTTCCACTGAGAGTTTAGCAGCAATGTGATGAAGTAGTTATGGGCAAACCTTATTAAAGATAATGGAAGTAGGAGGATAGGATGTTAAGTAGGAAGTAGGATGGAGGGAGGTATCGACGTCAGGACCCCAGTCCATCAGAGGTTCATTGCAAAGGCCGAAAGGCATGACCTTGAATCACCACAGCCCCT